TAATCAACAATTTTAACTTAGTTTTTAATTCCCGACGTTTCGGGTGCTTTACAGCACCCATGGTCATGGGGGGGGACTGAGATGTTTGACGCCGCAATGTCATAGTCCGACTACCTTCAGTTTTTGAATATTAGTTTTTGATCCGATTTACTCAAAACGAGGTTACAGTAATATCATGAAGTCTTGCAGTGGTATGCTTGGGTTTGGGTTTAATTTTGTTAATTATAGAATCCCAAGCAACTGGCAGCGCCCATCTATATTCTCTATTGAAATTAGGATGTTTTTTTTAATTTCAATAGCCTCGCGTATCATCCTTGGTAGGAATCGGTATTCTTTTGCGAGGATTTGTGGTTTATCAAATCTAATGTAATGTTGGGGACGATCTTGAACATGTTCGCAGACTGCAGACTTCCCGGAGCGCCGGTGCTCCTTCACGCGGGTTTTTATAGATGTAAGAGAGACCAACCTCACATTAAACTTTTTCTTTAATAAATTTCTGCATTTTCATTGAGGTTTTGAATATGTATTTTCTTTTAACAGGTACGTATTTATTTACTAATTGAAAAGATTAATTTATACAAAGAATAGAAAATCCTACTTTAGAACCGGTTTCACCGAAAACCGGTTTTTTTAATAAGAAATCCGAAAAAAACCGGGTTTTAATTTGGGCCAGTTTTAAATTCTCTAATATCGATCATTATAATTCACGTCAATTTTTATAAATGACAGTCTGAAAGGTATAATTCTTTAAAAGTACTGTAACCACATAATTTCAGAAACTATGTATGAAAAAGGCGAATCACAATTTTTTTTTGATTGGTTTAGCAATGAGTTGCGGCGCTCCACGGGTTCGAATTCTGCATGGATCAAGTATTTGTATTGCCTACAAGTAATTGTTCCGGGTCTGGATGTCCTTGTGAAATGTATGTAGGTAAACTGCCTCTACGACACGGGATACGAAAATTTGTGTTTTTTTTTGTAAACGTTTATTAAAAAAATATATCTTTTATTAGCATAACAATTTTGTCTAATAATTATAATAAATAAACAAAACAATATATTGAGTGAAATAAAACAATTCCACAGTGGTGGATTTATTGCTATTTTCTTGTCAAACATATAAAACAATTGCACATCTATCATATTGAAACATGTTTGAAGTTTTAAATAAACATATGAATACTAAAATAAGTATAGGAATGAATGGAATATAAGAAATAATACTGTGGCAATTAACGCATAGTTTCTAACTACGAACAGAGAACTACTTCATAGATCTACATTGCTATATTATGTCAATTAATCACCCATTTATTTCTACTCGTAACCGTCACATCTGAATATGATTGCCGGCTATTTGGTGATCCGTAAGATGCGGCGTCAGGGATACTGGCGCTAATGGCTTCTTAGACGAACATTATCTTCTTTATTTATGGATCAATGTACAACAACAATGTAGTGCATGTCATCTATATTGCCAATCTACGTAAGAAGAAAAATTATATATCTTTACATCCTTATAAACGCATGACTAATAGCATTCAAACCTACTTAGAGTTGCCAGATAGAAAATTGTAAATTCCTGACATACAACCTGTCTGCCTTAGAAAAGTTGTGACAATTTGTTGCAAACATAATAAACTACTGTGGGAAAAATAAATAGAACAATCATTGATTTTGTATACTCACGCGAGATAGCTACGTCGCAGATTTCATTTCTTCCACGTAAAATATCTACTGTATTTTATTGAAGTATTGAAAAAGCCTGGTATTTCTAAACTCCATCTGCAATGCTGACAAGCGCAAGTGACTCTAAACGTACTTCAAAGGATTCTCACTCTAAAAGTACTTCAAATTCGTAAAAGAATCCTCTACCACATATTATCATTCCATGAGTGTCGTAAGAGGCAACAGAGGGAAATGAATCACGAGAAGGGCAGCAGCATCTTCAAAATAATAAAAAACTACGGCTACCAACAGTGGCGAAGCTAGGGCTCCAAACTAGGGCAAGCCCAAGATATGGTTGTTGTTTTTAGCAGTTTAATAAAAATACACCAATCTTGAGCTGTCTCCACTCTTTTGTTTCATATTTAGTGCGGACAAGGACGTGTTTAACAAAGCACACAAAAAGCATACAACCGCTAGATAGATTGTATGATATTAATATGCAATTGCACACCTTCGGTGGTTTTGAAAAGAGCCGTTTGGGTTTGCTTGAGATATTTACAAACAATACAATACATGAACAAAGTACAAACAAACTATGTACAAAGTTAAAAAAGGGACGCCTGGCAGATGTGAAACCTCGAAATTATTTTGTTTAAGTTATATGCATAAAAGAACAGATTACGACAGGAATTAGATAGTTATAATGAGAAGATAAAGCTTTGCTAATTTTTACCATAAAATAATGACTATTTATTATAATTATAATTATTCATTTTCAATTCATAATAAACCGTACAAAATGATATTTTTAAACTCGTATATTACTATAAATTAGCCGATAGCGTATTTGTGCCATCTAGCGTAATCTTTAGGTACCATAGTGAGAATCAACCAATTTTCGTTCGATAAAATGACATTACGTATAGAATTAAGTAGATGGCGCCATTAAAATTTTATATACTGAAAAGTGGACAGAGAAACCTAACTGGAAATAACTAAAGGGAGTACTATTCTTTAAAAACCTCAATACATTCTTCTGTATTATTTTGATTTATTTAATTAAAATTTGGGCTTCACGTTAAAAAAAGATTGTAACGCTTATTTCCTCTAAAATTAAACCTAGGTCTCATACTTTATGCTGCTGTTCAAACTGATATTTTTAATTCGTATGGTAATATTAATATTGAGTGATTAATCCTTTAAATACGCCTAACTTAATTAAACTTTAATACTAAAGAGTCCTGTACCTATATTTAAAGTATGAAGAAATGTTTATTGAATATTAAATTTCATTTTTAAAGATTTTTACCTTTTCTTCGCCGATTAGCACTTCAACACACTTATATTCATCACAATGAACACTATTATCCTCCCATTTTCACTGAAAATCTTCGAAAAAGCATAAATTTTTAACAAACACAACAAAAACAAACATAAACATTGAAATGTGTAGTGAACTTGTATCCGAGGGGCCCGCAACCACTTCGCTAGTCTCTAACGCACTCCTAAACAACTTCATGGCAATGCCAGGCTTGTTGGCTCAATAGTAATTGCTATATAAACATTTCGTAGTTATATTTCACTATAGAATTTTTTGCCATAGGTTAGAAAGAGAGCGATCGTCTTCTCGAAAGCCCCGTAAAAAGCCCATGCGAGTGAGGGAGACAACTAATCACTCTATTAAAACTCACTTTATGACAGCAGCAGTATCGCCACAGAGTACGTTTGTATAAACGTATCGCTAAGGCAATACGAGGTCATCGGTCGACATGTGTCTAACAGTGGAGTGCGCGGGAAAATTGAAATAATTTGAAACAGTTTAGGAGTTATTTTATTAGTTGATATTATTGATTGATTCAGTTTTAATGAGGCAAGCCCGGCTGTTCGGCTTTAATGGAAGCTTCGCCACTGGCTACCAACACGTTTGCTAAGCAGGGAAGTGTGGTAAATATCCCGTTTATGAGACAATCCATAGGGAAATAACTTTGTTCAGCAGTAGACTTTCAATAGGTGTAGGTTATAGATGGATAGACATTAATTCACAAACTAAAACCGTGCAATAACACTCGTCTTCTGGTCGTGATCTGAGGATTATGGTATAAATAGGCTGACCTCGGTTGCGCGATGTTCCTCAGATATCGATCCTTGGTCCGTTTTTATTCTTAGACTGTATTTAAAATCTGCCGCATATTTTTTTATAGAAACGAGCACACATTCCACCTGGTGGTAAGTGGCTGTGACCTATAGACATCTACTTCTATCCTCGATTACGAATCAAAATGCAGATGCGTTGTCATCCGTGAGGACTTAGATGGAATACCTCGTTTCCAGTAATAAGGGTCTAAAAGGTCATGTAGTACAATACAAAGCAATGCTGACTTTAAGTTTTCCACTGATGATTTGTGATATAAAATTAAAAACAATAGAGACAATTATTTTATGGAGCAGCCCAATTTTTAACTTCAATTAATAATTTACTTCTAAATTTAGCGCAACACAACTTTAATTCCGATACGATTTGAAAGAAGTATTCAGAACTCGAGAAGTAAAAAGCTATTGTGAATTCGGCCATGTTCCTTGGTATTATTGAACATTAAGCAATGAAACCTCTTTTTACTGCCAGCTTACTTCTTCTTAATTAGTAATTCCACATCGTATCCTCAATGGTGTTTTATTAACCCTAAATCACTCGTTCTATTGAAAGAACAAGCAAATTACTAAAACTATTGATAGACGAAGATAGAAACGAGCTTGACCTTACTAAAAGGAATCTGATACTCAAGTCACAGAGCGAACGTGATGAAGGAAGAGAAGAGCTATATAACGAATTTATACTTATTATAAAATATCATTTTTACGGATTTTATCGCGTTTAATGTTCATTTAGTTAAAATACTTTTTAGTATATAAACTTGGAGACCACGCGACAACTTAGAAAGCTTTGAAATCTGTGTTTATCTTTATAGATGGTCCGCCTTCCTAAGTTTGCAAAGGACCTTATTTAATATCCTATAGAAGTACCCTTTGTCCTACATTTATCGTCTGTCTACAAGCTAATTATGATGTCTACAATATAATTATATTTCTGAACAACTCGCGTCTAGTAATGTCATGTACACTGTTTTAATTTTTCATTGAAATCCTTACATTTTTTTGCAAAGTTACACTAAATTTATTAGAAACAGAATAATTGATCTATTTTTGCTATGATCTGTTGCTTCTACATGCGACAGGTACCTGTGATCTTGTAACTTTGTAATAATAACTGAAGTTTTTTAATTAGAGCTATCTGTAGGGCAAATGTATTTATCATCATACCTTTCTCCCGACAGTGGCACGGCAGCCTGTCCTGTGAGGCGGCAGCAGCGTCGTCGTCGATGGGCGGCGCCGGATCCCCGCTGTTGCCGGAGTCGGAGCTGATCAAGATGTGCCCTATGTGCCGAGTGCCAATCGAGAAGGACGAAGGATGCGCGCAGATGATGTGCAAAAGATGCAAGCATGTATTCTGCTGGTACTGTCTGGCCTCGCTCGATGTAAGTAGCATATTTTCAAAGTGTGTTTCGTTATTTACCTGATATACCGTATGGTGATAGTGTAAGAATCACCACCACCGATGCCGTTACCGTTATCGTTAAGCCTATTAAAGTCCACTGCTGAACATGAGCCTCCCTCATAGATTGCTTCATAGGGAAATATTTGCCATAGTTGCCACGCTTGGCAAGTGGGTTGGCAACTGCAGTTTTTTTTATTTTTAGTCGTTATTAGAAAGACGCTGCTGCTCATCTGTTTTCCCGATTTGTTTCCCTCTTTGGCATGTTACAACAGCCACGGGATGTTATGGGGTAGTGGATATTGTTACACCGCCACTACCCCTTATGCGTGGGTGACGTAACAGTCGACTACCGGAAATGCCAGAGAGATCACATGGCTTTCGATAGGTATCTGTATCGTTTATACTAGACGTATAGTAGACCGGCGACGGTAAACAGCGTTAGGAGGTCATATCAGTCCTACATATCGTTTTACACAAACACTAATTATGTATGTAATAATCCAATAGTAGTCCAGTCCAGTAGTCTAGTGGCGGAGAAATGAAACTACTATTTATGTGCAAACGACTGGTGTATCGAGTATTGAATATGAAATAAATAGTTAGGAAATAAATGTTTTCTTCGCCTTCTGTGTTATGGTAGCAGCAGGGTATATATTATTTATTACCGATTAGCCTGGCTGCTACACACACACACACACACACACACACACACACACACACACACACACACACACATATATAATATATATATATATATATAATTGGAATCTCGGAAACGGCCTCAACGATTTTCATGAAATTTAGTATAGAGGAGGTTTCAGGGGCAATAAATCGATCTAGCTAGGACTAATTTTTAAAAAAATGTCGTATTATCCATTTTTATAAGCAATGAAAAACTGATACAATATCATTAGAATACGAAAGTAAATTTTGCCAGTATCTAAATGGTTATAACAGCTCAAATGGGATATGGGGCGGTGCCGAAATCATGGAACGCTGGTTCGAGTACAAATGTCTCCGGTCTGACTCTTTTTTCCTGTTTTTCCTTCGTTTGTGAGAAAATATATTATTTGGTGTCCTTTTTTAGTATATTTTTTTAAAACACGAAAAATAATGATCGAGAAGATCTAAAAATTTAATTCATATTTCATCAGTTTGTGATTTGTATCTAAATATAATTTACAAAAAACGCGATTTCCAAAAAAAATATACCTAGCGGTCATCCAGGTACTATTACTAATATGTCATAGTAAGTCCGACTACTTTCAGCTTTTGTATATTAATTTTTGGTTCGATCTACGGAGAACGAGCTTACACTGTAAGCTCGTTCTCCGTACAGACGTACAGTATACATTATAAAGTCAGTATATAGTATAATTATGGGATTCCAAGCAGCAAAAATTACAGCAGTTGATAGCACCCATTCATCATTCATTCATGAAATTAGGATGTTTTTTTTTTTAATTTCAATAGCCTCGCGAATCATCCTTGGTAGGTATCGGTGTTCTTTTGTGGGGATTTCTGGTCTATCAAATCTAATGTAATGGCAGGGAGGCGTGGTAATCTTGAACATGTTCACAGACTTCAGACATCCCGAAACGTCGGTGATATTTATTTAGTTAGTCAGTATGGTTTATTTTATCAAACTTTCCTTTTTTTAATCTGTTAAATATATCAACAAAAGTTTTTCGAATAAAATACAGCTAAGATCCTGCTGTTCTGTTCGTAAAGTTTCGTCACAGACACACAGACAGACAAACAAAAGCAAATTATTTTAATATTACACTCAGACACTTCAATTTTATTTATATGTATATATTAAATATGTGCAGATTACTATCTTTTTTATAAGATCCATAAAATAATTTAAGCAAACCTCAGAATACACTTCTGTGAAGTGCTACCAGTAAAAAGAAAACAATATTTCATATAAGCGAGGTCACTACTTGATGGAAAACGAAAAGGTCAAGAGTTTTATAGCTTTTCTTCAAGCAGGTCGGAATGTTTAGCAAGTGGAAAGTTTTAAAAATATACTTGTAAATGGGAGATGCATTTTTGCATAGTACTTTTTATCAAGTGGAGATTTTTACAATTTATTCTTGTAATTCAGAGATGCATATTTTTTTGCATAGAACTTTTCACTTAAATCTTTGTTACTTTGATATCTAGGAAATCTTTGTTACTTTGACATATAAAGGATTCACACAATATTTATGCGTCTATCCGACTACAACTATGACAAAATTTGACGTTTTCTGGTATGGGTTCAAATATAACCGGGAGAACCGAGTCAGTTCGTCTTAAAACTCGAACTAGCCAGTAGTGAAAAGGACCACATCTCTTAATAATTCCTAAATTGTCCTGAAATTTGCCATTATACGTACAAAATAATTTTTGTTCGTTGTTAATGCCTAACGCCTTTCGTATGGCGCATAATATTCTGACATTCACAGAATTTTGGTCTTTTTTTACATCGTTTAAAAATTCGAGAGCTCAAATAATTTTGAAGAGGCACTTTTTTACGGTTTTACGTCATCGCAAAGAAAACGTCTGTTTAGTTGATTTTTCCTTAAAGTTGATCCGGAGTAGGTTCGCTGTCAGTATGACCATAACTTTGATACAAAAATCGACCATTTCATCAAAAAAGGATTAAATATTTGTTTTTAAATATGTAATTTTGACATGATCACAGAATGGCGTTTCCTATGTTAAACGTATTTATCTCATGTTACAGTCATACTTTAATGTTTATATTTTATACCTTATAGTACAGTAAGTATTATCACCTTATCGTGATCACGAAGAGTTAAAATATGTCTAAAAATTTAATGTATGAATATCAACTTCCATTAACCGAGAGAAAATCAACGATGATGAAGAATCTAGAACGTCGCATATTGTCTTGATGTTTGCAATAAGATTTCGTCATAGGTCGTAGATTAATAATTGACATATATGAGAGCTTTCGAATAGAAATCTCCCACCGTTCACTTTGTACTGTTTTACACAGTGTCCAATAGAGTTGGCGGTACTAATCAGGAGAAAATGGTCGCAGAACCTAAAATGCCAATTGGACATTTGGCACTGATGTCAATGAGGATTAATATTCTTACGGTTGTCAGGTGTCACTAGTTGGGTTCTAAGGTGAACTTATTTATTACGTAGATGGTCACACAACATCATCATCGTTAGAAAGGTGCGTTTTAAGTATGTAAAAGTTTTTCGGTTTCTATTAGGTATGTGTGTATTATCCAAATAAACAATGCCTCAGTGTTGTATTCTATCACTTTTACACATTTTTTTAACTTTTTTTTTTAATACTTCTACTTCTAAAATAAAATATAATTACATAACTAATATTTAAGAAAGAAACATTAACCTCTAAACTTTACTAACAAAAGAACTTCACCCACTAAGGAATCTGTGAACTTTTCGACTCATTCCAAAATAGCGCCGCTCTAGTAGCAGAAAAAGTCATCTTTGAAATACTTGTTATGAATTGTCGAACTTTATATAGACATTATGAGAATTAACCCCCTTATTCATAAAAATTATTAAACGCTTGATTAGTTAAATAGTGTTTGTCTCATTCTGACATTTGCGAGACAAATCTTGCTAGAAAGTGACAAAATACTATTTAACTAATCAAGTGTTTAACAATGTTTATGAAAACAGGGGATAGTGTAACTGTGTGCGTGTGCTGTAATGCCCCTTTTTGTAACAAAGAAACCTTCGCGGCGCGCTCACAACTCGCCAAAGCTGATCAGTCTCAACGTCGTAATCGGATAAATACTATGGGAGCACACGGAAGACGAACAAATAAACAAATGTCTTATATACAGCAGTGGAAGGCTATTTTTCATAAATTGCATAAGTTTGTACTGCCTAAAAAGGAGTAAGAAAAGAGCTTACTCCTTTCTAAAGGACCGGCAACGCACCTGCAATTCCCCTGGTGTTGCGGTTGATCATGGGCGGCGGTAGTCACTTAAAATCAGGTGAACCGCATGCTCGTTTGTCCCCTCTTCTACAAAAAAAAACCTATTTCATTGTACAATGCTTCTTTAAAAAATTGGCTCGCTAACGACATCTTTGCTAATAGGACGGGGTCACTTAGTGTTACTTCATCTGAGGGTATGAGGTGAAATATTTGACAGATTGCGTGGCGGGGAAGTTATTTCGTTAGGAAAGTTTGATATAATTTTAATTGTAGTTCAATATTATTTTATTTTTAATTGTATTTTAATTATAATTGTAAGGGGTTAATATTTCTTTCTGTAATGTTGGTTATATATTAATTAGATACGAGAAAATAAAACAAACTACGGGATATATCTAAAAGTAAAGAAAATTAAAAAAGGGATAAAAATGTGCAAAAAATTTACGAGCAAACCACTGAGACATTGTTTTGTGTTTTTATTAACTTTTATTTATAACGCAACTTTACAATTTATTTTCTTATTGGATAGGGTATCAAACGGGCACACAGTCCACCTGACATTTACACACATTACAGCACACCGTACACATGTATGACATTGTATATTCTATATTAAATTAATATAAGTTCTATTCAATGATAATTATAGTTTATCTATTGTCTTGAATAATTTGAATACAGGTACCGCCATCTATTGAGCGTCATATTGGTGCGTTTGGCAGAAAAAAGCGCTAGCAAGCGCTTGTAAGCAAAATGGCGAAACTAAACAGTTTTCGGCCAGTACACGTTTGCTAACTTCAGTAGCGCTGACACAATCCGCCATTTTGCTTATTTAATTTGTTTGTTTTGAAGTAGAGTTTATAAGTTGTTTTGTGCAATATTAGTTTTAAGTAATATAATGACATGAATAGACATATACATGTTTCATGATTAGTAAGCTTTTAATATGAATACTTTACAAACATATATTAAATATAATAAATAAATTAGGTTAGATTCCCCGGTTAAAACTAACTTCGTGTCCTATAGGAAAATAGCTACTT